TTGAGGAACATATCCGTCATCAATAAAATTAAAAACAAACACAACAACATCAACATCAACAATAGCATCGGTAACAGGAATAATAAGAATAGCATTAACAAAAAACACAACAAAATCAGTAGCCAGTCTAAAACTAACAACAACAACAGCAGCAGCAGCAGCAACAACAGCAACAATAACAACAACAACAACCGCAAAAAAGATGCGAAAAAATTTATCATATCGCCGACAAAGACATCAACAACAATAAGACCGTTCGAAAAAAATGTTTCACCGTTTCCAGACCAAAACAACAACAACGTCAAAGAAAATGACGCCATCCACAACATCAACAAAAATGGCGTAATCAACAACAACAACAACAACAACATCGACGATGACGACAACATGATTATCGAGAATGCTCAATTCGAAATCAGTTAGTAGACCGACCTGAAAGTGATTTTGAAACAATTTTTATGAGAAATAATTTTTAATAATATTAATGCAGAAAGTGCTACCAACACGCGCGCGCGCACACCACACACACCGAAACAAGCACACACACACACACACATATACACATCTCCACAATCTCACACACATATATACATCTCCACAATCCCACACACATATACATATCAAAAAGTCTCAATAAACATCACATTCTCAAATATTTAGATAAAAGCTAAGAAATTTGCACTATATATATATATATATATATATATAAGTATTTTTATTTATTTATTTATAAATATTTCCCATTTAAACGAATTAAATTTAAATAAATAATTAACAATAACTAAATCCAACACCTCATTTCAAAAATCTAAAAAAAAATTTCAAAAAATTCATCTCCTAAAAAAAACTAGACCCGAACAAAAAACAACAACAAAGCGTAAACGGCAACATCAACAACGACATCAACAACAAAAACAACAACAACAACGACGACATCAACAACATCAACAACAACAACAACTTCAAAAACAACAACAGCAACAAGTTACCGTTCCTACTAACCAGTGCATTAATGGTTGTATTGGTTGCTGTCTTACTGGCCATATTCCTACTCTGCTACTGCATCTTCGTAAATTATTTCAACAAAAAGAGCTCGTGCAAGCGAAATTATAAGCAAAAAAAGTTTCCTAAACGATATTCTCACGATAAAAAATACTGTAGTAAGTTATCGAAAAGAGCCATTGATGACGACGTTGTGGTCGCTACCTCGACCACTTCCGCTGACGTCATTTCTAAATTAGAACTACAAAAACCGTTTTTATCCGATTCGAAGAAACCCGACGCGGAAAAAAATATAAATAGTTGTTATTATAACACAAATTATAATGTGAATAATAAAAATAATAATCATAATTATCTTAGTAATAATAAGAATGATAATAAATACAACGATGATAATGAGTGTGTGAACAACAACAAAAAAGTCGCGTCCCAGAAAGCAAGTAACAACTCAAGCAACAACGCAAGAAACTGCGTTAAAGGCTGCAACAATAATGACAAAAGTGTCAACAACAACATATCGACCAACAGTACATCAACCAACAACACATCAACCAACAACTTAAACCACGGGCCAACAAACACCCACGACATAAACAACAACAACAACAATAACAACAAAATAAACACACCATCCAACCAAAAAATCGGGTTAAAGGTCACCAATAAAAATAACACAGTTTCTTTTTCGGATCCGACGCATCTAAAACCAGCAAATACGTCATCAACATCAACAACAACATGCCAAAAACTACAAAACCAGGCAAAAAACAAAGATGGCGTCGAAAATAGGATTGGCGAGCGAATTAATAATTCAAACGATTTTAAAAATAATGATTACAACGTGCGGTACCTAAAATCCGGTGGGGATATTTCACTAATTCCGGCACGAGATGTCAATCATGAAGGGCCCAGACGTGTATACACGTGGACAGATTTTTGAAATGAATTCACCTGCGTTTCATATTTTTTTTGTGGAAATTTTATTATTGTTATTATTATTATTATATTATTATTATTTAAATTTTATTTTAATTTAATTTTTTTTTAATCATGACTATTTCTCTATTAATTAACCAATTATTGACTTTACGCATTTGATGAAAAATAAAAGATCTGTACCCATTATTATTATTATATTATTATTATTATTATCTGTAAGTGTTATTATCTGTAATGATATCTTTTCATTGTTATTATTATTGTTGTTGTTGTAAGATTGTTATTCTTACTTCAGTTATTATTATTAATTATTACTGTTATTAATAATAGTTTTATGTTACTAAAATATTACTACTATCAACTAACTAGTCTGTCTTTGTGACTGTTTAAAACTAGTATAACAAATAATAATTAATTAATTATTATTATTTTTATTTTATCGTTATAATTGTTGTTATTTGTTTTTTGAAGTTATTATTGAATTTAAAAAACTTGTACAGAACATTTCTAAATAATTATAGTTACGTTAACATAATTTTCAATAACAGAATCAAATTAAAATAAAATAAAATATATAATACGTACAGATAACATTGACAAGCAGAGGTATTTATTTCTCGTGAAATTCTCTTAATTATTTACTATTGAAAGCAAATATTTTTCTAGCGAGAAATATTTGGCGAACAATTTTTTGGCGATGATTTTCATCTGGTAAACTAGTCACGAAATTTTGGAATATCTCATAAAGAGCATTTGAACGTTTCGCACGAAGAATTACCTGTCGCTTGCGACGCGCGGCGAAAATAATTTTATCGTGAAAATCTCGAAAGTTGTTTGTTTTTTGTCTGATTATTTTTCATTTTAATTTGAAAATGACTTTATTTATTTTGTTTTTTAACTTCTTTCAGTTGAAAATATGGACCTGCTGAAATTCTGATTAGGTAATTTTTGAGGTGTAGCAACATTTTTTAAGTTATTTTCATAAGTTATATCAAAAAATTCTCTTGTTAGAATTAAATTCTTGCGGAAATTAATAAAAAAGTTGATATGGGAAGAGTCAATAAAATACCAAAGTACTCAAAATACTAGTTTTTATAAATGAATTAACTTCGGAGAAAAAATAAAATTAATTTTGAAATATGAGAACGGTTAATATTTCAATACAAGAAATTATATTTATGACTAATAATAATTTTAATTAAGTTTAATTATAGTGAATTATAATAAATTTATATTCAAATATCAGAAAATTTCAGACTGAAGTCAATCAGTGAATTGGTCCAGAGCAACTCTCGATGTATGGACAGCTGTTTTGCGTACTCCTCACATAATTCAAATTCCTCCCGGATAATGTCTCTTTGTTTTTGCACTAGTTTCGGAACTGGTGTGCTCGGATCGCTCTCTAGACCAATCAAAAACTCTTGCATCTCTCTGATGGTTGCTTTGTCAGTCATGTTGTCTACGCGTTGCATGACTTCAGTGTACAGCGTTTCGTTCGTTCTTAAAATCGCCATTTCTCTTAATACTGTATCACTTTTTAGTCCTTCCGATTTAAAAATTGTCAGAAAAGTTTCATATATTACCATATGAGCGTCCGGATTTGCTTTGTTCACAATGGAGCGGTTACTCCTAAACATCGAGTATCCGATGTTTACGAGTATCTTCTTAAAATAGAGAAAGGAATTTAATAGAAGCAAATCATCTGGAACACTCAAATTTTTCTGAATATCTACAAAATGTCGTGAGCTGTTAGTGCTGGCAAAAAAATCCATTTTCACTAATCTCACTCTCTTTGGTCTCGGTGTTGTAGTTATAATGTTCAGTTGGTGGTTCAAATAGAGCAACCGGTTGGTTTGAATTTTATAAATGTATCGATCGTTTTGTGCCTTCCTTTCAACGTTTGATCTCGAAGTGTCGGGTTCGCCGGCTTCCAACTCTTTTATTTGATGATCTAATTGCGCTGCTTTCTTGAAAAGTTCAATATATTTACTGCCATTTGCAGCGTATTTCTTGGTATGTATGTCCCAGAGCAAGATGAACTTTACCTGGTGGAACTCGTTTAGGAGGAATTCCATCAGTCGGCGACGATTCCAGTAATCAAGCAGCTTCTTGTTGTAGATGAACTTGACGATGAGATTTACATCCTCCTCATTCTCTACGCCAGACTCCACTGATTTGCAATGTCTCGCTATGTATCGTCGTTCCAGAGACAGAAAATCTCTGAATTTTTTCTCGTTCTCATCCAACTTAACAATCCATTCGTCTCTCATTAGATCCAGCATCTCCTTCATTTGCAACGCTTCAGTCTGATCTTCAAACGATAACATACGCTTTATATACGGTCTTATTGTTGTTCTCACCATTTTACTCTCGACTTTGTTCTTATGATGGTCATACAGCCATCGTTGCTTTGCTGTCAGTAGGTCGTTAACCGTCAGTTCTTTCACAATCTTACCACACATCTGACTGAAGGCATCAAAGGTGTGATCAGATTTCGCCGCGAAAATAATAGGCATACGCGTCAGCAGCCGGATAATAAATACAAGCAACAACATGATCAACACTATCAGTTATAAATATAATCTTTGAGAGACTTTGGTGCTAATTAATTTAGTAGTCAGATTGAATTTTTGAGTTAAAATAATTTGACGTTGCACGAGATGGCCAGAGTGGGATCAGAAAAATATAAACAAATTCGAATTTAATTACGGCTGTGTTACGAATTCACTTGACAACGTCATAAAGGTATTTAAAAGTGCATTTAGATGTATAACTCAATTCGCCACCATGAATTATTCAAATCCAACAAGCCTAAATCTTTGTATAAAAATACCAAAACAGAGATCCTGAGATCCTCGCCCATAACATGTTGAGTTGTTGCACGCGAACCTAGAGACACTGTGTGTTTGTTGTTGTTGTTGTTGCTGGTACCTTCGACTGAGAATTTCTGTAATAGTGAATAATAATAATATAATAATAATTATATAATATAATATAATATAATATAATATATTAATAAATAAAATCAATTTAATAAATTTCGTTTTTTAAATTTAGGCATCCATAAACATCAACAATAAGTTTTAAATGAAATTATTTTTTCAATATGATTTTCATGAAAAGTTTTTTTTCAAGATAGTGGTACTCAAATATATCAAGATAGTGGTACTCAAATGTGTGGGCGCATGTGTGTGTCACGCACACTGCAGTAAAGTTACGGTGAGTGTGTGCGTGTATATGTGTTGTGTGCGTGTGTGTGTTTGTATACATTACAGTAAAAAAAGGCTGGCACGTATGTGAACGAATACCTACACATACACAAACACAAAGGAACAGAAACACATACATACAAACATGATCAACAAAAATGCATACACAAGATACAACCCAGCATATTTAAATAATCTAAATATATACATATAATATATATATATATATATAATATATATATACATATACATATACAGATTATATATATATATATATATATATATACACACGCTTATTGATCTTCTAATACAAGCAGCTGTGTGTGTACGTAAATGGAAAGCGAAGCATTTTTACAAGCATTCATACATACATTCATACATACAAACATACATAGATACATAGATACATACATACATACATACATACATACATACATACATACATACATACATACATACATACATACATACATACATACATACATACATACATACATACATACATACATATTTACCGCTATTTTTAGATACAAAACTACAGAGCACAAATTATTTTTGGCAAATATTACTATTGTCAAACGTGTTGTCACATATGTAATTCTATCGCCTATTGATTGCGCTAATTAACAGGTTAGCAAGTTTATTATTAATTATTTTATATTTATGTTATTTTATTGTTTAAAATTATCTAAATTATGTTAAATAAAATTTATATATAAAATATATCTAAAATACACCGATTGCAAACAAAACACATAGCAACACTAACAGCTACAACTCTGCTTTTACAAACCTGCTTTTACTAATTTTATTCTTATCGGGATATCCAGTTTTAACTGACTAGCCAGTTCATATATTTATATATGTACACAAACATACAAACATACAAACATACATACATACATACATACATACATACATACATACATACCAACAAACAAACACACACACACATCTTATTAATACTATGATTTTTAATGTGTGTCGTATTTTAATCGTCGTTTTTCTAAATGTTATTTAGCTGTTAGAGAAGAGTTTTATTTGATTTTAAATTTCAAAAATGTAAATAAAGTATCCTTATATTTATTTTTTTATCTAAAACAACAGCAACAACAAGACACACCCCAACAAATCTACAGGATAAAAAACGACAAACAAACAAGCCACAAACATACAAAAATCAACGTTAACGAAAACAACAACAACAATAACAACAGACAACAACACAAAACCCCAACACAAAACAACAAACGAACAACACCAACCAATCAACACCTAACCAGCAAACAACACCAAAATCAACACCCAAGTTATAGAGAAAACGACAAACAAACAACAACATTTACAATAAAAAACAACAACAACAAACACCACAAAACACCAACCAAACGACAAGAAACACCTACCCACTCAAAAAAACCCAAACTACCCCCAGAAAGGATGGGATCTTTATACAGAAGTGAGGAAATGACCCTGTGCCAACTTTTCTTGCAGGCTGAAGCGGCCTACGCGTGTGTCTCGGAACTGGGAGAACTCGGATTAGTGCAATTTAGAGATGTGAGTTACGGATTTTATGGAAGTTTTTCGGGAATTTTTTTTGGGCCTTTTTGGAATGGATTACGGAGTTCGTGGGATAGCATTCACAAATGGGAGTTGGTTACTCTGGGTCCTGAAACTCGATTTAATCAGATTCAATTAACCTTTCGTGTCGCTGAAAATGTTTAAAAAATATTTTTTATGTTTGAGGTGAAAGATAATCTTAACAACAGTTAAAGATAATGTTAAATTCAATCTTATAATAATATTTCAACCAATTTCGCCCCATTCCATTCTACCAGCTAAATCCGGACATCAACGCGTTTCAAAGAAAATTTGTAAACGAAGTCAGACGATGCGAGGAGATGGATCGGAAGTTAAGTAAGTTTCCGAATATTTTATTTTTATAATTATTTAATAATAATTAAATTATTATTATTTACTATTGTTATTATTATTAATTCATATTTTAAGAGAATTTGAGCATTAGCTACCTTTAGAATGTTATATGGTAGGATCTCTTTGCAAAAACGAATCTTCTTTGCCATTATACCATTTTTGTGACCCTATCATATTAATATTTCGGGAATTTCTTCAAATTTTCATTAAATCAAACTGCGTTTTTGGTATTATAAATGATAAAAGTGAATATAGAAAAATCAAAATACGATTGAAATTATGAGCGAAGGGTTTTTGGAGAAGGAAATCAAGAAAGATGGGATTCCCATTCTGGATACGGGTGACAGTCCGGACGCTCCAGCTCCCAGGGAGATGATTGATCTCGAAGTACGTGCGGTGGGGCTTGCGGTAAAATTACTGCTTTTGTCGTGTTTTAGTTGCTGCTGCTTATGTTTCTGATGTTGTTGTTGTTGTTTGCATTATCATCCCAATTCTTATCCAATTCTCATCACAACATCATCTTCACTATTAGCATAATCATCGTCGTTCCAATATCATCATCGTCATTGCCATCATCATCATCATCGTCGTCGTCGTCATCATTAGTCCACTTTCGAAAAACTGGAGAACGAGATGAAAGAAGTTAATGCGAACACGGAGGCTCTCAAGAGGAATTTTCTTGACTTGACTGAACTCAAGCAAATCCTCAAAAACGCCCAAACCTTTTTTGCCGAGGTTATAACATCCTCATTGCCATCATCATCTTTATCATCATCACCATCGTCATCGCCATCATCATTGCTATCACTATTATCATCAGCAGCAACTGCTGCAGCAAAATTACATTCATTATCTTCATCATCATCTTCATCATCGTCGTCATCATCCTCTTTATAATATACTTCCTCACCTTTCACATTATCGTAATTTATATAGTAATTCATCATCGCCACAACCATCGTCACCACATCGCATCGCCACCATCGCAACTACATCATCGTCATTCAGGCTATGACTGATCAAGCACTAAGCGAAGACGCCAGCGTTTTGTTGAGCGAGGAAAAAACAGCAGCCACTTCGGGGCAGCCACAGAGATTAGGGTAAGTGAGGGTCAGAGTCCCAAGAGGGCTGTTGTGTCTTTGTTGTTCGTAGCCGTGAAAATACTATAGAAGTAATTAATTTCGAATCCAATTTACAATTTGCCAATTGGAAAGATTGAATTGGGTTATTCTTCGATTTTAAAATTAAATTAAAAATTTTATTTGGTTATTCGTTTGCTCGGCCCCCCCTCTCTCTCCATTCATAATCTGATATGCGATCCGTTCTTTCCATGAAATTTGTCAATTTTTTTTTATCAGAATTAATTAAAAATTAATCAATCAGTTGTTCAAACTAACAAATTAACAATAATAACTAATAATTAATCTGATTTTCGTATTTTATTTTAATAAAAGAATGAAAATAAAAAAAATCTCTATTTTAAAACATTTTTTTTTCCGAAAAAGATTTGTAGCGGGGGTGATATTAAGGGAGAGGGTGCCGGCCTTTGAACGGCTTCTCTGGAGGGCATGTAGAGGTAACGTTTTTCTCAAGTTGGCCGAGGTGGATGGGCCCTTGGAAGACCCTGTGACGGTTAGTTGGTCGGTAAGGGGATTAATTTGTTGATTGGTTGGTTGATTGATTGGTTAATCGATTCATTGGTTGGTTAATTGATTCATGGATTGGTTAATTGATTAATTGATTGGCTTATTGATTGATTGGTTGGTTAGTTGGTGCTGATTTGTTGGCTGGTTGATGTTGATTGATTGATCATCATTATCGTCATCTCTAGGGTGACCAGGTTAACAAATCGGTCTTCATCATCTTCTTCCAGGGTGACCAATTAAAAGCCAGGGTCATCAAAATTTGCGAAGGGTTAATCATTATTCAATTTGCTAATTAAATCATTAATTAATTAACTTACTCACTCAATTAATTATTCAATTAAACATTTGTTTTTCTAAATACCAAAGACAAAACAAACATTACACATTATGTTATGATTAATGCGTCAAAATCAACAAAATCATACAAGAACCTTTATGAATTCGAACTCGGCCTCTGAGGCATAGAAGCCAGCGGCTCTAACCATTCAGCTACTTCAAATAACCCTATACAAAACATCAACAACACAACAGTTTTCGGGCCACACTTTACCCGTGCCCCGAGACGCAAGTGGAACGTAAGGAGATGTCAGCAGGGGTCATGGCCAGGATCGAAGACCTTAACACAGTACTGATGATGATGACGACGACGATGATGATGATGATGATGACGATGATGATGGTGATAATGATGACGATGATACAACGACAATGATATCCTATCATAACTATCATTAACATAATCATCATCATCACCGTTAAGGTCTTGAGTCAGACGCAAGACCATAGGACTCGAGTTCTCATAACAGCCGCTAAAAATATCAAAGTATTTTTTTTAACTTTGCCATCTGAAGAAATTTTTTTAATTTTTTGGTTTAAAAAACGAAACCAAAATGATTGAATGAATGAATGAATAAATGAATGAATGAATGAATGAATGAATGAATGAATGAATGAATGAATGAATGAATGAATGAACGAATGAACAAACGAACGAACGAACGAACGAACGAACGAATGAATGAATGACCAATCAATCAACCAACCATGAACGAACGAATGATTGAATGACCAATCAATCAACCAATCGACCAATCAAATCCAGGTGTGGTTCATAAAGGTACGCAAGATCAAATCCATCTACCACACTCTGAACATGCTGAACATCGATGTGACTCAGAAATGCTTGATCAGCGAGTGCTGGTGCCCCGTTAAAGATTTGGAAAAGATACAGATGGCGCTAACTAGAGGAACGGTTAGTTGATTGGTTGGTTAGTTGGTTGGTTGGTTAGTTAGTTGATTGGTTGGTTAGTTAGTTGATTGGTTGGTTAATTGATTGGTTGGTTGATTGGTTGGTTGGTTGATTGGTTGGATGGTTGGTTGGTGGGTTGGTTGGTTGGTTGGTTGGATGGTTGGATGGTTGGTTGGCTGGATGATTGGTTGGATGGTTGGTTGGCTGGATGATTGGTTGGTGGGTTGCTTGATTGTTTGGATGGTTGATTGGTTGGTTTAAAAATGCTACTTTAAAAAAATAATAATTTTCCAATTAACAACATTCATCAAAGCATCTACAAGAGGACCAACATCATTCCCACCATTCCCAACACAAACTTCTTCATTCCCACCAACAGCACCATCATTCCCAACACAAACATCCTCATTCCCACCAACAACATTCCCGACACAAGGAACGTAGCGGCAGCAGCGTTCCCTCGATCCTGAACCGCATGGAGACCAGCCAGCAGCCTCCCACTTACAACTGCACGAACAAGTTCACTGAGGTTTTCCAGTCTGTTGTAGATTCATACGGTGTATCAACCTACCTGGAGATTAACCCAGGTGTTCTTGTTGTTTTTGATGATGATGATGATGGTGATAACTATGGTGTTCTTGTTGTTGTTGATGAGGATGATGATGGTGACGACTTTGGTGTTCTTGTTGTTGGTGAGGATGTCATCATTGAGAATAATCCAGGTTGTGATGATCGGTTCATTGTTGATGATGATGGTGGTTGTGACTATGGCGGTAATGATGATTATTATGGTGGGGGTGATGATGATGATGATAATTATGATGATGATGATGATGATTATGATGATGATGATTATGATGATGATGATGATAAAATAGTGGTAATGATTGTAGTGCTGATTATGATGATGATGATATTTATAAGACTAGTTTTGTACTGACCTAAATGAAGTCATTTCAAAAAATATGAAGTTTATGACAAAAGCCATACATATAGTTTAACAGTTCACATTAATTTTTATTCACTCATTCAAACAACCGCTCGCTCACTCACTCACTCACTCATTCCATCACTCACTTGTTCTTTCACTCACTCATTCTCTCAATCACTCCTTCACTCACTCATTCACTCACTCAATCATCTACAGCTCCATTCACCATCATCAGCTTCCCATTCCTGTTCTCACTGATGTTCGGTGACGCTGGGCATGGTCTGGTGATGCTGATGGTTGCACTCTGGATGGTTCTCTTTGAAAAGAGGTTGATGAAACAAAAGACCGATAATGAGGTACGACTACTACTGCTGCTACTACTACTGCTGCTGCTACTGCTGCTGCTGCTACTACTGCTGCTGCTACTACTGCTGCTGCTACTGTTACTGCTTTTGCTGTAATGATGATGGTGATAGTGAAGATGATTCTAGTGATAATGATACTGATGATGATAGTGATGATGATGACAACGATGATGAAGATGATGATGATGAAGATGATGAAGATGATGATGAAAATGATAATGAAGATGATGATGACGACGATGATGATGTACGTACACGCAAACAGATATGGAACATATTCTTTGGTGGCCGATACATCATCTTACTGATGGGAGCTTTCTCAGTCTATTCCGGTCTCATGTATAACGACTGTCTCTCCAAATCCATCAACATATTTGGGTCGAAGTGGAAGCCTGGCCCAGATAAATACGATACGTTAGTTGAGTTGGTTCTTAGTCTAATGGGCAGTTATACGCGAGGATATGTAGTAATTCAAAGTAATTGGGTCAACCAAATTGAAACGTGATGACCTAGATACATATGTATGTAGTAATTTAAGATAATTTGGTCATATCTGGGTCGAGGTGGAAGCCTGGCCCAGATAAATACGATACGTTAGTTAAGTTGGTTCTTAATCTAATGGGCAGTTATACACAAGGATATGTAGTAATTTAAAGTAATTAGGTCAACTAAATAGAAGCGTGATGACCTAGATACATATGTATGATGTATATGTGAAATTAATTGTTTAGTTGCATATGGATAGGCACAAATGATCAGTGTAATTGCCTACAAAAGATCTTGTGCCGAAAAAATATTTATAACTTATCTTTTAATTTCGTAATTGTATAAAAATATTTTCATCAATTAATTATTTTTACTCCGTAATTAATTATAATCTTTAATACCCCTCACCAGCGAATTCCTCCACAAGAATCCACATAGCACTCTCGATCCCACCAACAACACGGACTACACCGGATATCCCTATCCTTTTGGCATGGACCCCGTCTGGATTATTATTAATTATTTTTTATTACTTTTTAATTACTGTTGTTATTAAGTACTATTATTATTAATTATTATTATTGTTATAATTATTATCTTTAGTAGTAGTGATAGTAGTAGTCGCAGCAGTACTAGTAGTAGTAGTAGTAGTAGTAGTAGCATTAGTAGTAGTAGTAGCAGTAGAAGTAGTAGTAGTAGTAGTAGTAGTAGCAGTAGTAGTAGTAGCAGTAGTAATAATAGTATTAGTAGAAGTAGTAGTAGTAGTATAACATTAGTAATAGAAACAACATCAGCAGGAGTAGTAGTATCAGTATTAGTAGCTGCACAAACAGCAGCTGTGGTAGTAGCTGCAGTAGTAGTAGTAGTGGCGGCTGTAGTAACAATAGTAGTAATATAATATATAGTATAATATGCTTATTACACATTACACACGCGCGGCTAGATATGGATGGTGGCGTCGAATAAAATCACCTGGTTAAATTCCTACAAGATGAAGATCAGTGTGGTATTTGGAGTGGGACAGATGATCTTTGGTCTAATTCTCAGTCTGCAGAACCACAGGTAGCCACACGACGGACCACACCACACGGCGCTTACTGTCGCGTGGTTGACCCTGACATCCACGCACGCGCACACACACACGCGCGCACACACACGCACACATTTTAATTAATTAACATAACGTATGGTTATAGTTCAATAACATTTTAATGAATTTAAATTTTAATTAATTAACATAACGTATGGTTATAGTTCAATAATTGTTGTTAGTTTTGTAAGGATTGTATTGTTATTGCTATTTTAATATCAGGAGTAATAACAGTAATGTTTTTATTATTACTGTTCTTTTCTTTCTTCCTCTTCTTCTTCTCTTTCTTCTTCTTCTCCCTTTTCTTCTTCTTCTTCTTATTATAATTATTATTATTATTTTTATTTATGCTCCAAGTTATAATTATATAATTTGAATTCATTCATATTCTTCATTGCTTTCTGATCTAACAGAGGAGTTATTAAATTATAAAATTGTTTCTAAGATTCCGCAAGGACTCGCTGTCAATAATTTGCGAATTTCTACCACAAATGATCTTCATACTTTGTATCTTTGGCTACCTCATCATACTCATCCTCTACAAGTTCATTAACATCGATGCTTCACAGGCTGCCTGCGCTCCCAGCTTGCTGATTGGTGGGTAATTTGCTGATGTGGATGCTGATTGGTCGGTTATTTGTTGATGTTGATGAAGATTGGTTGGGTTTTTTTTGGTGTTTATGATGATTGGTGGGTTTTTTGTTGAAGTTGATGATGATTGGTTGGTTTTTTTTGTTGATGTTGATGATGATTGGTTGGTTTATTTGTTGATGATGAATGGTTGGAATTTTTTGGTGTTGATGATGATTAGTTGGGTTTTTTGTTGATGTTAATGATGATTGGTTGGTTTTTTTGTTGAAGATGTTGATGAAGATGGTGAAAATGATAATGATGGTGATGAAGATGAAAATAATAAAAACGATGATAATAATGATGATGAAGATGATGATTATGATGATGATTATGATGGTGCTACTCAAGGTCTGATCAACATGTTCCTGATGAATTATCCTGAAGAGCCTTGCAGCGCAAAGGAATTTTATTCTGGGCAGGTCAGCCATCATCGTCATCATCATCATCATCGTCATCTTTTGTCATTATTATCGTCATCATTCTATTTTCATCATCGTCATCATCATCATTTTCTATCATCATCATCGTATTGCTATTATCATCATCATATTACAATCATCATCATCATCATCATCATATTGCTATCATCATCGTCATCAGAAAGGCTTCCAGATTTTTCTGTTGCTAGTGGCTGTGGCTTGCGTTCCCTGGCTCCTAATTGCCAAACCTGTGATGTTGAAAAGGAGAAATGACGCGAAGAATAATAAGGTGATGACATGACGGTGGTGCTGATGATGACTACGACGATGATGATGACAATAATAATAATAACAATAATAATAATAATACTGATGACGATGACGATACTAATTATGATGCTGTATTTGTGTTTTCGATGATGTTGATGATGATGTTGATGATGATAACAATGAGTGGGAGGAGGAAGATGAGTTGTTGATGATGATTGTAGCGATGACTCAGATCATCATCATCATTATCAGGGAAATAAGTTACCGTTTGAACACAAACTGGAAGATGGCCTTGATGTCAACGCTACCAAAGATCATGAAGAAGAAGTTATTATTATTATTATTGTTGTTGTTGTTGTTATTGTTATCATTATTATTATTTTTAGTTGTAGTAATAGTAGTAGTAGTAGTAATAGTAGTAGTAGTAGTAGCAGCAGTAGTAGTAGTAGTAGTAGTAATAGTAGTAGTAGTGGTAGCAGTAGTAGTAGTAGTAGTAGCAGTAGTAGTAGCAGTAGTAGCAGTGGTAGTAGTAGTAGCAGCAGCAGTAGTAATAGTGGTATAATAATAATAATTATTATTATTCTTTTTATATTCCAGTTTAACATGGGAGAGATAATTGTCCACCAGTGCATTCACACCATCGAGTATTGCCTGGGCTGTATTTCTCACACGGCTTCCTACTTGAGATTGTGGGCTCTCAGTTTGGCACACGCTGGTAAACAGTGTGTGTGTGTGTGTGTGTGTGTGTGTGTTTGTGTGTGCGTCTGTGTGTGTGTTTGTGTTATTTTCTCATTTTCTCTTTCGGTTGAATGCTTAAACTTCAGTTCCTGACTTTGACTGTAAGGATTGTGTAGAGAGTGTACGTGTTTGTGTGTGTATAATTATATATATGTGTGTGTATGTGTGTTTGTTTGTTTGTGTGTGCGTGTGTTTGTGTGTGTTTGTTTGTTTGTGTGTGTGTGGTGTGTGTAAATTTTTTTCTTTTTGAGCAGGCACGCCGTGTTTGGTGTTGTGTTTTTGTTTATATAGGTGTGTTCGTTTGTTTGTTTGTATGTATGTGTGTGTGCGTGCGTGTGTGCGTGCGTGTGCATGTGCGTGTGTTTATTATTTATTTTATTATGAATATTATTGTTTCATATTTAATTATTGCTCAGAACTCTCCGAAGTCCTATGGAACATGATCTTCAGAGTAGCGTTGAAAATGAGTGGATGGCCGGGAACGGTTTATTCATTGAAATTATTTTCAAATTATTTCTAAAATCTGTTGCTATAATTATGACATAATTATTAATTATTGCAATCATAATTATAACATAATTATTAATTATTGCAATCATAATAACACGTTATTCTCACTCGTTTGGTCTTTTTCAGCTCAGAAACAAGCCTCTTTAACCTACATAAACACACACACACAAACAAAAAAACACACTCACACACACAAATACACACACTTATTCACACACACATACAAACACACTCACACACACATGCAAACAAACACAAATACACACACAGCATATTTGAGTTAGTTATAGATAAAATATACCTGCTAGGTGGCCACCTTTCTTTTATTTGCTCCCTGGGCTTTTTTAACGATAACGATATTGCTACTTATGGAAGGGCTGTCCGCATTTCTGCATACACTGAGATTGCATTGGTTGGTTGGTTGGTTGGTTGGTTGGTTGGTTGGTTGGCTGGCTGGCTGGCTGGCTGGCTGGCTGGCTGGCTGGCTGGCTGGCTGGCTGGCTGGCTGGCTGGCTGGCTGGCTGGCTGGCTGGCTGGCTGGCTGGCTGGCTGGCTGGCTGGCTGGCTGGCTGGCTGGCTGGCTGGCTGGCTGGCTGGCTGGCTGGTTGGTTGGTTGGTTGGTCTTTCGGTCGGTCGATCGGTCGGTCGATCGGTCGGTCGGTCGGTCGGTCTGTCGGTCGGTCGGTTGATTGTTGGTTGATGCATGGAAGATTTGACTGACTGATTGATTGACTCTCTCCCTTTTTCTCCCTTTTTTATTTTTTTTCTGTCACTCTATTTCTCTTTCTCTCTTTCTCTCTGTCTTTTCTAATTACAACTATAAACAATTATATTTTTATTTTATTACGTTTTATTTAATAATTAAATTATTGCAGGGTTGAATTCCAGAGCAAGTTCTACCAGGGGGATGGCTACCTTTTCGAGCCATTTTCTTTCGACAAAATAATCGAGATAGACATAAAAAAATAATTATAATATTAATAATTATATTTATTACGTTAATAATTATTTATACTATCATTTATAATGATGATGATAAGAATTTTGTATGTTTTTGTTATGATATTAATTATTATTATTACCATTTGACAGGGTTGGGCAAACCTTTTGCTGTGAGGGCCGCACTGAAAACTAATTTACCTTTGAAGGCCGCATATGTACTTAAATAGCAAATTTTTTCGACTAAGGGAAGAATTTTTCAAGATTTTTGGCTCCTTTTTTGGTCATAATGTCTAGCTGGCCGTAGTTTGCCCACCCCTGTTATTCGGTTGAGATCTGTCGTTAGTGAATTAGGCCGAATAGCCAGAGATATCTGTTACCAAAAAAAAACCCAAATTTTGAAGAAAAAAATTATTTTTTTTAAATATAAAACAAGCTATTAAAAAATTTACCCATTTCTATCCAATTATTCATCTAGATAATATTCAATTTCATCTTCAAATTTTGACGTCTGTGTTGTCTAAAATAAATTTCCTACTAAAAACTATCAACAATTTTATTGTTCCGGATTAGGAAAATATTGACGGCTTGGGAGAAAGTTGCATCGGTGTTTTGAAAAAATGACCAAAATAGATGCCGAACTCGACCGAATATTCGTTGTGGTTGAATACTCGGTGCATCTCTTATCGGTTACATCGTTACGAATGATTTTTAGCGACTTTAATTAAATAGCGACTTTGATTAGATACCTATATCATTGTTGTAGTTACTGTTTGTGTGTAGATTAGATAATAATTAAGATCTGTTAAATATCTATACAAATTTGTGTATTAATGGATATAATAGTTAATTTTATATTGATAAATGCTTTAGCTAATCAATAAATTAATTGGTTTTATTTTGAAAAACATTTTATGAAAGATATATTATATATTTATTCATTGCTATGTTTTGAACAAATTTTTCTATTTGCAACTAATAAAATGAACAACATCATAGAGTAGATTTACTCTTATGACTACAATTTTATAATTAAGCCAACGTTAACAACATCTTCAATGTTAGCCATCCTTATCATCATCTTCATCACCATCTTCATCAAAATTAATAACATCATCTTCTTCGTCGTCGTCACATCTTTCTAATGCTATCACCCAACTTCAAACGATAAACTAACACTCATAAGACGCCGACTTAATAAACATCACCAAACTAATCAAACCAGCCAGCCGGATTTTCTTACTGGATTATTATTCACCAATTATCAATCATCGTCCTACTTTCAATCATTCTTATCTCCAAAACATCTTGATAACTCATTCCTGGGAAACTAAAAAGATGAAATTAATATACCCTAGAAAGTCATATGAATACTGAATAAAATTTAACTAAAATATATCGAAAAACCCCTTTACGTAGCAGCTATATTTATGATTAAACATTTTACTTGTGTTTAATTTTTACAAATTTATACAAAGATTTTGTGTATTTTAACCTTGACCCTTGCCAATTTTTTACATTTGAGGGCTTCAGCCCCAAAGTTCACCACTTACCTACACCCATTAACAAAATGAATTTAGGTTCTTTTTATATAAAATTTTTTTACTGCTTTTTTGTTGTGGTTGTTGTTGCTGCTGTTGTTGTTGCTGCTGCTGCTGCTGTTGTTGTTTTTTTGTTGTTGTTGTTGTTGTTTTCGTCGTCGTTGTCGTTAATATAGTATTTTAGTAATTGTAAGTGTTATTATTTTTATTGCTATTACTATTAGTAGTAATAGTAATAGTAGTAGTAGTAGTAGTAGTAGCAATAGAAGTAGTAGTAGTAGTGGCAGAAGTAATAGCAGTAGTAGCAGCAGTAGTAGTAGTAGCGGTAGTAGCAGTTTTAACGGTAACAGATTCAATCGTCTCTAGTTAAATAATGATAATGATTCATTAGACTATAATAAGAACAAAATAAAATTATTATTAATGATAATAATAAAAATGATAATTATAAAAAATAATAATAATTAACAATAATAATAATAATAATCAGCGTACTTTTGGAGCCTGAGAAACCTTTAATAGCAGACTCCATGGCTATGGGTTAATAATAATAACAGCAATAAAAAATATAATAGCGAATTAATTTCGTTATTAATTCTATTATGATCAAAATTATTATTAACATTATTATTGTTATTATTATTAATTATTATTAATAGTAGTAGTAGTAGTTGTTGTTGTTGATGTTATTGTTGAAGTAGTAGTAATAGTAGTAGTGGCAGACGTAGTAGTAGTAGTAGTAGTAGTAATAGTAGTAGTAGTAGTAGTAGCAGTATTATTATTATTATTATTATTATTATTATTATATAAATGCATTTCAACTCATTCATTCAGAGCCGATGAAAAAAATCTCCAAAGAAGCAAAGCAATATGTGTGAGGTTTCCGTGTGATCTTCGTGGAATGTCTCGTTCTAGCCAACATGCATCATCATCATCGCCATCATTTTTATCCTCGTCATTATCTTCATCATCATAGTTGTCGCTACCACCAACTGGATCATCATTATCAACATCGTCATCATCGTCGTCATCATCATTGTCTTCATTATCATCGTCATCGTCTTTCCTACTATACTACTACTACTACTACTAATACTACTACTTCTACTACTACTACTACTACTACTACTACTACTACTATTTTTTCTACTACTGCTTTTACTGCTACTTATATTACTGCAACTACTACTACTTTTACAACAACAAAAACAACTACTACTACTACTACTACTACTACTACTACTACTACTACTACTACTACTACTACTACTACTATTACTATTAATATTGCCGCTACTACTGCTACTACTACTACTGCTATTACTATTAAAAACCGACGACAACACAACAACAACAACACTAAACCGCCAATCTGTCTCGACGCAGTAACTCAATACTGTCACCATCCCACCATTAAAGACATCGTCATCATCGTCGTCATCGCCATCATTATCATCATCGACACAACAACAACATCGTCGTCATCATCATCATCATCAACATTAGCAACAACAACAATTACAACATCATCGTCATCGTACAGCATCACCATCATCAGCATTGATTTTGTGGGTTTTTCCAGCGACGTTATTTTTAGAACAAAATATTTCATTTTGCCGTGCATCACCTAATTTTTTTCCTTGATGTGTTTCTTCAGCTGGTATCTAGCTTAACCATCAGATGGTGTGATAGTGTTAGATTTGTGATTGGCCCTATCCTGTTGTATTCATTATCGTTAAATTCATCAGAAAACTCTATCAGCGTTCCTTAATTATTTTTCTTATTTTATTTAGTTATATGTCGCGAAGTCAAATCAAATCTAAAATCATCAAATTATTCGGCACGACAACCAGAAAGTAGCAAACAGAATGCATACTTATGACAGGCAAGCTGCCGTTAAGCAAATGTTAAATTTCAAGATGTAAAGCAGCCTAGGTGCTTAGACGTCTGTCTGCTGAGATGCACCTACTAGGTTTGAATGCAAAAAAGAATCCTTCCCGTTATGTATGTATTACTATCCTTCCCGTAAGAAGTATTGTTGTTTTTGAAACTATATAGGGTATTTGAAATTTTGATCAGATTATCATCGCCAAAAAAATCATCGACAATGATATTGCAGTCACCATCATCGCGACAGATTATAATCATTATCATCATCGTCGTCGTCATTAACACAGACATTTTATATTTATCATTCGCTTGTTCATAATTTGTATTCTTATCGTAATCAAACTCGTTAATAAGGTTCCAAAAGTTTCCCCCTCTCTCTTTCTTTTTCTCGCTCTTTCACTCCCTCTTTTTTTTCTTTCTCTCTATTTTTTTTTTCTCTCTCTCTCTCTTTCTCTCTCTCTCTTTCTTTCTAACAGTCGAACATCAAACTAATTTCAGTCTCATTTCTATATTATGTACGTCTGCAGGTTTATTAGAATTGTCTACTGCGATTGTCTGTGTATGTGTGTATGTGCAAGTTTGTGTGCGTATGTCTGTTTGTGTGTGTGTATTTGTGTATGTGTGCGTGTATGTGTTTAAATGTGTGTAGGGATGTATTAATGTAATGGTATGGCTTTGTGTGTGTTTCTTTGTTGTGTTTGTGTGTGTGTGTGTGTGTGTGTGTGTGTAATGGTGTGTGTTTAGTTTGAAATGTGTGTATTCTAGAGTTTGTTTGTTTGTATATGTGTGTGTGTGTGTGACTGTGTATGTATGTGTGTGTGTTTTTGTTGAGTGTGTGTAAGTTTAATTAATTGTACAGGAGATGTTTTGTATTTTTAGGCATTTCTATGATTTATGTTCGTTTTGATATGCATGAATTGTGTGTGCGTGTGTGCGTGTGTGTGTGTGTGTGCGTGCGTTTTGACTTAACACATACAAACACACACACACACAAAAAGACATAAACACACAATATACGTACAGAAAGATAATAGTTTTCTACAAACATACACACAAACACACACACAAACACGTACCATCCCAATCTTGCAAAGAAAAATTCTTAAAAACTATCCCACACACTGAAACATGCAAAAACAAATCATACACACACAAACATATAAATACACACAAACACACAAACACAAAAAAGAAAACACACTCATCATACTTCCGCACAAACATACACACATACACTAACATATAAATACACACACACACATAAACACAAAAAAGAAGACACACTCAGTATACTTCCACACAAGCATACACAAAAACACACAAACACACAAACATTACAATGTCTAGGCAGTATAGGGGCCAACCGTCTTTGACGCCATTAAATGCAGAAAAGTTGTGAAGTTCGTGGCGCATGTGAAAGAATATTTCTAGCGCTACATGTATGTTTGTTTGTTTGTGTCCATGTACGTGTATGTATACATGCATGTATGTACGTGTGCTTGTGTATGTGTGTGCATGTTTGTGTGTATGTATGTGTGTGTATGTGTGTGTATGTATGTATGTGTGTGTATGTATGTGTGTAAGTATGTGTGTGTAAGTATATGTGTATGTATGTATGTGTGTGTGGTTCGGTGGGTTTTTGCTGCCTAAACAAGCAAATCATCATATTTTTATGTACGTGTTTTGATTTAATATTTATTCTATTTTGTTGTATCGATCGTTTTCAGTAAAGAGAGAGAGAGAGAGAGAGAGAGAAAGAGAGAGAGAGAGAGAGAGAGAGAAAGCGAGAAAGAAAAAGAAAGAGAAAGAAAAATTAATGAGAACAAATGATAAAACGAACGAATGATCATAAAAATACAGAAAAAACAGTATAAAGAAAGAGTGGGGGTATGTATGTGCATTTGTACGCAGTGAACGTGTATGTGAGTGTGTGTATGTGTGTGTGGGTTTGGTGTTATGTGTGTGCGTGTGTGTGTATGGTGCGTGTGCGTGTATATATAAATAATTATATAGCTGTTTGAGTGTCAATGTAAAGGAAGACCTAGATGATTGTCATTAAATTGGAAGATTGGTTGGTAGGGGACGCCATTTAATGCCGGATTGTCGTGTATTACACTGTCTGGTGCTATGTTTGAATGTGTGCATGTGTGGGAATGTTGTGTGGGAGTGTGCGTATCTACACGCGTGTATGTTTGGCTGTGTTTGTATGTGTATTCATGAACGTATGTGTGTAGACATACACATACATGTTTGGTTGTGTGTGTGTATACATACACATTAATTAATTCACACACCAGTGATTTATTCGTTTACATTCAACCATTCAGTTATTTTTTATTGGATTGTTTATTTGTTCATTCATTCATTTGTTCACTCGTTCGTTCTTTCGTTCGTTCACTCATTCATCCGTATATCCAACTATCCATTCAAGTCAATCATCCAAATATGTAACGTAATGCACATGAATTTATTTATGACATATATTGGATAAAAAAATGAGAAAGAGAGAGAGAGAGAAAAAAAAACTTAACAAACAATAAAGGAATAAAGTAAGAGAGAAAAAGAGAAAGAAGAGAGAGAGAGAGAGATAGAGAGAGAGGAAGTCTCCAATAAGAGTTAACACAGAAAGATGTTGCGTAATAATTAATAATAAGATCAGTAACTTTGGTCACATATATTATGCAGATAGTTTGCATGTGTGCGTGTGTGTGCGTGTGATTGTTTGTGTGTGTGCGTACGTGTGACTGTTTGTGTGTGTGCGTGTGTGTTAGCGCTTGTGTGACCCTTAAAAATTAATTGATTTATGTGTAATTGATTAATTTGTTGTTCAAAGACATGTTAGATGTTCGAAGTTATACATGAAGATTGAATTTTACTATTGAAAGTTAATGAATGAAAACTCAGTTAATGTTGATCAATACTTCAATTAGAGAGTTAATCAGTAAACCAAATAAATATATATTAAATCATTTAATTAATTAATTGCATAATTAGTTAAGTATTTAATTTGTCAGCTAATCGTACAATTAATTAACAATTCAATTCCGTTCTTTTAATTCCGCAAAGATTCTTGTGCTACCTATCTACCTATCTACTACCTTTCTACTACCTACCTACCAGCTAACAACAAAATAAACAACGATACCCATTGAAAAAATTCGTTGGAAAAACATGGTATGCAACAAAATTTTAGGGCGTCTGATTAAATCACATTACAACAACATACAGACAAACAAATAAACAAAAAACGAACATGCAAGCAAACGAACGAAAAAACAAACACAAACATAACAAACATAGAAACAAAAAAACAATTGAACAAACAAACAGTCATACAAACAAACAAACAGACAGACGTATTCAGGCATGTTTCGACAAACAAGCAAACAATCTGGCAGACGCAGACGATTCGAGACGAGACATTTCGAGACGAGACATCATCATCATTATTACACCACCAATAATAAAACTGTACGAGAGTTCTCACAATTCACAGCACCATCTCGTCTGAAAGTCTCAGTATATATATATGCTTATATTGAAAATTTATATATATATATATATATATATATATAATGAATATATATATATATATTATATATATATATAGGTATACTATATATAATTATATTTGTTAAATATGTATATATGATTGATGTGTAATATATAAATGTTTATATATGGGTTTGTATAAATGTAAATATGTGTGTATGAAGCAGACCCATGTGTGTATGTATGTATAGTGTGTGTGTATATATATATATTTATATATATGTGCGTGTGTGTGTGTGATGTGTGTGTACGTATGTATGTACGTGTTCCCATGAATAGTATAAATTGAAGAGGCCGTACCGAAAGCAATGCGAAAGTTAGTTTTAGCTTGGGTTTTTGAAAGTTTAGTTAGCATCGTTAGTTCAACAGTTTCAAAGTTATTACAATTCATTATTATAATTTTTTATAGCCAAGGAAAAGCTTGATTTATCTATACATGTTGGGTGAATACTTTGCGTTTTAATTTTAATAATAATTTTTTTTATTCTGATTTGAGACGATACGATTTGATATATTTGAATTTGAACTGTCACATAAAAATGGATACATCTGCAAGAACATCCTTGGCCATCATCAGCGTCCTCATCTACTTAACAACCTTCATCTTTAGATCCAACTGCAACACCGTTGTGACATTCAACTCGAAACTCGCTCATCCGACCGAATACAACACACCTCTTGAGGTTGATACTGCCTCACACGAATACTCGACCGACGATTTGGAGGGCAACAAATACTACAACGATTCTGTCAACAACGGTGAGAATTTCGAACGCGAAAATGTGGAAGAATATGACATGATCAGTGCACATGAACGCATGAAAAGCCATCCATTCAACGAACTATCAGCCTCTGGCAACACAGCCGACCTCGAGAAATCAGCACGTCGTCAGTTAAAAAGCAAAAACAAACAAGCGGAAAGAAAAATTTCAGATGTTGTAAAGATCAAACCATTCGATATTTTGAAGGGTGGTCCTACAAATCGTAACAGAAAGCAGCAGAACAAGCGCCAGCACCAGCCACAACTACCACAAAAACGTCCGCAGGCACAGAAACCGTCGAAAAAATTCCCTCCGAAAAATCAGATGAAAGGAGAGATGAACGAGAAGATAGTGATGGATAAGAAGGCCTACCTGAAAGAAGATTGGTGCAAAACAAAGAGATACAACCTCGAGATCAAAGAACCGGGCTGTCTGGCGAAAAACATCAAAAATAATTTCTGCTACGGCCAGTGCAACTCTTTCTACATTCCTAGAAACCCCATCAAGACGTTCGCATACGTCGACCAGCAATCCAACTTTAAAACGAACAAAACGCCTGGCAAGGAAATTATCTACAGAGAGGAAGAGGAAGAAGATGAAGATGATGGCGACACTGAGGACGATGGCAGCATGCAGTCGAAAGATTACTTCATGTCTTGCGCTTCCTGTGTAGCTCAGTCGGTCAAATGGAAGAAGGTGGTTTTGAACTGCCCGAGAAAGAGGCCCCCCTACGTGGTCAAGAAGGTGCGGGTGGTCCAGAGGTGCAAATGTGTGGCAGTCGTCATTAACTGAGTTTTGTACTTTTGGGAATAATGTATTATACAATGCAAACATCAGCCTCATCATCAAATCTCTGTATTTTTGAATTTCACAATGAATATAATACTCTTTATTTACAGTGTAGTTATTTCAATTCTTGATATTTTTTTCATTGAGAAAGATGAGAGGATGATTTTTTTTTATAAACAAATACAAAAACTGCTTTTTGTTGAAGGAGATTTTTTTAAACTGTACATATGCATTCACTAATCTTAATTATATGTATAGGTAAACGCTTCAGTTGAATAAAAAAAAATTTTTTGAAAAATGTACAGTCATTTTTTTATTTTATCTTTTATCTGGACCTTTCTATGTAAATTCATTCTATATTTTTCGCTTTTTTCAAAAAAATTAAATAAATCTTCCAACGAAGTTGAGTATTTTTTTTTAAATTTATCTTATTCTCAAGAATTTGCATCGCAATGAAAGAATTTGCTTTGAAATTACCATTACCAAATTACCATTTTTTAAAAAATATCTTATAGAATAATCAAAAATATATGGATTATAAATGGAAATAAAACAAGGAGAGTTGGATGCAAATCATAATTTGACGAGATGTTATTAGGTTCAAGAAACATTGTGTGACTTGACAAGTCAGATTGTTCAACGGTCGACAAAAAATAAATAAAATAAAATATACAAATTATTGTAAACATTATTTCAAGTCTGTATATGATGAAAAGATTGATCTAGTTGATTTAGCTGAGTTTAATGTTCTTATCAGTTCTATCTCAAATTGCGAACAGGGAAAAATCGATTTTGATCAATCATTTATTCTTCTGTCAATTTATCAATCAGTCAATCAACCAATCAATCATTCAATCAATCGATCTATCAACCAACCATTTGATCCATCATTCATTCATTCAATCAATCATTCATTCAATCATGCAATCAATCATTCAACCAATAATAATAATAATAATAATAACATCTCAGTCGAAATAATAATAATAATAATAATTATTATTATTATTTTTTTTTTTTTGATCCATAAATAAAATTTTTTGCAAGAACTACCCCACCGGGAAAATAAATGATTCGGGCGACTTCAGGCCAGACAAAATGATGGAGGGAAATCACGTAACCATCGGCACTCGATGCTTTCATTCATTCGCTTTTTAGCCAGCAGCCAGACGAAAAAATTTAACAAGAAAGTAAGCATATACTAAAGCATATGTGTAGACTGCGTGTGTGCGCGGGTGTTTGTGTTTTTGCGTGTGTGTGTGTGTGTGTGTTTGTATGATTGATTGAATGTGGTGTGTGTGCGTGTGGATTGTGTATATATAAATATATGTGTGTGGGAGTGTGTGCGTGTGTATATATATATATAAATTACATTGGATTGTGTGTGTATATATATATATATATTTATATTTATATGTGCGTGTGAGTGTGTGTGTGTGTTTAAATTATAAGCAGTAAAACTCTAGAGACCAAAGTTAGCTCGATGTTTATAATTCGATCGGCGCATACTTCGAATTTAGGCGTCTGAGCAAACACAGGCGGGGTGCCTCCGACTGTGTCTAGACGATTGTGGACATGTGAATCCCAGTGAAATCACCATTATCATTAACTTTATAATTCTCTCTCTCTCTCTCTCTCTCTCTCTCTCTCTCTCTCTCTTTCTCTCTCTCTCTCTCCTCTTTCGCCCTCACTCTTTCTCTCTCCGCTATATTTTTCATGCACTGTTATTTTTTGATCTAACTGGCTGGTCATAATTAAAATAATTTTTTGTAGGTTTCTGTTGAATCAACACCAGTAACACAAGGTTTTTGTAGAATAAAAAAAATTAAATTATTTAAAAAAATTCTCGGTGTGTTTTAGTTAAGTCGCAATCATCATCATCTTTATTGTATAACTGATACCTAATTGTAATGTAATGGAATTAAACCATTCAATTTTTGAAATATCAAAGCTAGTTTTTTTTATGTGTTTTTAGTTTTTGATC